ATAATTTGCCATCTTCTCCGAAAAACTCCGTCGCCATCTGCCATAAGTGGTCCTCATTCTGTATATAATCTTTACTTCTTGTGCTTGTATTTTCCTAAATATAACCCATACTATACTTTAAATTCATATATCTTAAATTCATTGTATGTTATTTAGATATTTAATCAACCAAGTCGACATAGAATTTCCGCTTCTTCTCTTTCGTCACTTATTTTACAAAATGATCCACTCTGGCTAAAAGTTGTGACGAGATTTAAGACTTCGGTGTGCCAACTATATAACACACCGAGAATTCAGGTATAAATATGAAAAGATTCTCCACATCGTGAAGCTCCTAGGAAATGTTGCTTTACCTAGAGTGCGCGCGCCTTTACATGATTTGCGTGCGCACAAGCAAAAGGTAGCAACTACTAACTCCTACCTAAACTTTGTGTAAGGAGCCTTTATGGTTGACCATGTCAACATTTCCGCATAAAAGGGAAAAACTCGCAAAAAGCTTTATGTCTGAATTGTCTTATCTATTAGAAAAATATGATGACGAAAGATCGAATTTGTATCCTCTATATTTCTTGTTTATAAAGTGTTGGTGTATAAGCTCTCTGGTTTTTTTTTTTTTAAAAAAAAAATTATCTCCTTAATCAAGTATCTTGACTTTAACAGCTTTATATCGATACTAATTACCAGCATTCTAATGTACCATCTTTCTTGGGTGCCTACTGTTGCTGATTTTGAAGAGCGGGTACCAATTAGTTATTTTCAATTTCATTTGTGTTTTGTTCATGTTTGTTAGATTATTAAAATTACTTTATTATTTATATAACTGTAAAGAATGGTAAAAATTTATTTTATGATCCATTGTGGGCTCAGTTGGGGTATGTAACTTATTATGATTTATGAGCGTTTGTTTAAATGACTTTCCGTAATATATACAAGTTTCTTACATTTTACTATTATTATTATTATTATTATTATTATTTAATTTTATTTTATTTTGATTTAAAGAGATTTATATGGTGTCATAGGAACGCCATCTGTAATGAGTAGAACTATAATTGCTGGAACAGATGAAAACACAGTTTGTCGAATATTGTTTGTTCTTAGCTACTTTATACGATGCAATGAAATATTTGAAAGATCAGAAGATTTAATTCCTTTAGAATTACAGCGTGAAGAGGAGTGTAAGACATCTTTAAATTGTGATAAAAATTTATCATCAGAATCTACTCCATCAGATGGTAAACTCCCTCATAAAAAGGAGGCTGAAACGTTAGACACCCAAAATAAAAATGAGAGTAGTAATGATAATGCAAATATTAACCATAATAAATCACACAAGATATCTGAAAGTCGACATAAAAGAGTTATGATAGATTTTCCTTTTACGGATATTTCTGTAGAAAACTTTTTAGACGTTCCGATGCCCAAGTAAGAAATGCCACTAGTGTTTATTACCTTTTAAAATTATTTCCTATAAACTTTCTTACAATTATTTTGTAAATTGATCTAATGGCTTATTAATCTATAGATCACAAATTCAGTCTATAATACCTGATCCATCATTAATAACAACAGATAAAGATACGAATGCAACAAATACAAAAGGTTTTCTTAGTGCAGATGAATTATTTGTAAAATCCTACGGACGGTCACTCATGGCTGGCTATTGTGAAAAATATATGTCAGATTTTGTATTGATGGGTCTCCCTAAACTTGATGAATTTCAAGATTCTTTGGCAGTTGATTTGAAGAACTCTTTACGGGTGACTATATTATATTATTGGCATTTTATACTCATAATATTTATTTTATTTTATTTTATTTTTTTTTTTAGATGCAACCATTTTCTTTACAAGAACCAGTTTCCAAATCAATTTGCATTTTGGGACAATTGAATACTTTGTATGTTTCCTAATTTGATGTTTTTTTTTTTATTCGATTGATGGAATATAATTATAACCTTTATCTTTGATTAGGAACTGCTCTATTTTAGGATGTG